ATGGTCCATCAGCCGGATCACAGAGATGAATCCCCCCAAAAGCAGCTTAGTGGATTGGATTACAGTGTCGTTGTTGTTCTGTTTCAATCCGCTGAACTAAGGTGATTGTCCCGTGTACACTCTTTTGTAGGACCTTATTTAAATGTTGTTTTCCTCTTTTTCAGCACAATAATCGAGGCATACACAGAGAGGTTTGAAGCTTATTGAACGTTAGTGTCAAATCAGCTCCATCACTTCACAATGCATCTTGGTCACCAGGAGATCTGTGGCTGTTGAAGAAATAATAAAATAATACAAATCATTTTGATTTAATATCTTTTTGTATTTTTATCATTTTGTCCGTGGAACCCTGTTTCCACTTGTTGAACAAGCAGCTGTCTGCTTCTAGCCTATAGCTCTGACAGATGGAGGAAGACACATGTAAACAATCAGGAGGAGGAGAAGCTTTCACTGGAGCTGCTCCTCCTGTTTCCACCATAACGAATACAAATGAACAGCAAACGACTAAACACCTTGATGTTGTCGGTTGTGACCACATGGGGGCAGCAGAGCTGCACAGTTCAGTGTCTACATGTTTTTATTTGACTTGTCTGAGACGCATGATGTCCAAATATGGTCCTCTGGGTGTGGAAGGAAGCTCCAAATAGTTCACACGCTGATGCAGTAAATGAGGGTATTTTGCTGCCATGGTAATCGCACCAACACCAGCCACGTGTTCATCAGTAACTGCAGTCTGATCAAAGGTAGTAAAACTATCTATCTGTGTTTTCATCGACTGTTTATCACTGTGGTGTGACGGAAGAACACTTCAATAACGCACGAAACACGCCACCGCATTGAAGTGATGACTTTAGTTATTACTTTGCATGTTAAGATCAGTAATACAAAATATAATCAACAAATGAATCATGATGAATTATTAAAGGATAAGATAAGACTCTTTATTGATGTGCGGGGAAAGGTTACCCGGCAGTATATGAAGTAATTCAAAGGTGCTCCAGCTCGACCAACTGCAAACATGGAAATGATGTTCACATTAACGCATCAATAATGATTATCCAAAAATACAATATGAACCATAAATAGGCTTTTATTTTATTTTACTTTCGGCACATATTTTAATGCTAAAACTTCACTTCAGAAGGATTTTTAATGAACATTTACTTTTAACAGAGTATTTGCAACTGTAGTAATGTTGCTTTTACTCATGTGCAAGATCTGAATATTGACACTGACACTGCTTTATTTTGGATTTACAGGGTTTTAAGGACATGCTCTAGCAGTTATTCTTTGACATATTAACAGTTTAGATTTTAGTCAGTGACACATTTCACTTTGATTATAATCATGATACAATAATTCTCTTGAATCTAATCTAATCTCATACACCTGCAGTTTGACCGTCGCCCTTACTGTGGCCTCTTCATGAGTCACTATTGTGTGTGTGATGCCTCACGTAGGTCACGTACCAGAGAGGAGACGTGTTTCAATGACACACTGCACCTATTCAAATTCACCCACCGACACAAGTACACTGAGACACATGTAAATGTGTTTAGCCTGTGTGGCTGTTGGTCAGACATGCTAATCCTCATGAGCACATGTTGGAAGAAATAAGTGTTTACTGCTTCGTGTTAGTCACACACTATTCATAGTGTCTGTTTCATCATTACGGGTATGAGTTGCATATTAGGGGTGTTCAGAATGATATCCTTTAAATTGTTGTTTTCATTCACTCTCCTAAAGTGAATCAGTCCCTTATTTGCAGAGGGCTTCTGGAGCCCCTTGAAGGCCTCACAGTGGACCCTGAAGTCCACTTGTTAATCACTGAGGCCAGACCAGGTGAATCTAAGTGAAAGCATCAATCCCTGTGGATCCTAAATGGTGAAAAGGTCACAAGGAGAATCCATAAATGAACAGAGCGACACCATTAAAAGGCAGACGGGGGGTGTGGGTTTTGGTATTTTGCGCATTAAGTCTACTGTATAAACAGGAATTTGGGCTTTGTTGCCTTCTGCAGTTCATGCAGTCCGTCTGTGTGCGTTGGTGTCAGACACAATAGCTGCTGGTAGATTGCATCATCAGCTAATTGTGACCCAGGAGATACCCTTCTCTGGCAGGCGAGTGAGAGGGGCAACCACGTGTGTGTGTGTGTGTGTGTGTGTGTGTGTGTGTGTGTGTGTGTGTGTGTGGAAACCCACTGCCTCTGCTGCTGCTGCTGCTGCTGATTCTGCCGCTGCTGCAATCACCTGCAATCCTTTCGACGCCTCGCCACTCCCGCCGGTTGCCTGGAGACGGGGTCGCCTAGGCCACAGAGCTAATGATACTGTGAGAGGATGAGGAGGAGAGAGACGGAGACAAAGACACAGAGAGAGGAGTGGGTTCGAAGAAACAAAAGGAGGGAGAAGGGAGAAGATAATGGAGGATAAATGGACATTGAGCAGGATTCTAATAAAAAACAGCCATCCCTTTGTCCTCACACAGCAATGAAAAACTGATATTAGAGTTTGTTATTTCACGTCTCAGCTTCCAGCTAATGTCATCAGGTCAGCTTTAAAAAACAACAACAACACAGAAACAAAGACAAAGCATCTGGAAAATGTACACGCTTGACAGGAATGATTCCTGGAGGTTGCATCATGGAAGGCATGTTATGATGGCTGTACACGACTAAAGATGCAAAAGAAAAAAGCTCCACAAACATCAGTAACAAATAGGGTTTGATACCAAACACCATGAATTTAATGTTCACTTATTAGACCTGGAAAAGGCGAAAGGCTAAAGGCTACACACAAATCACACATGTACCTAAAAGGGGTTTAGAACGTGTGAAAGAAGAAACCATGACACTTATCTTATTAACAATAAATATAATGCATTATTTGTGTTTGTTTTGAATACATGGTATTTCCTCTATTCCAGCTGGCTTCATGTTCGTACTCTGGACTGGTCTTCGGGCCAATTGGTTGGCTAAATGTCTGGATGTTGCAGCAATTCTCAGTGTAATTAAATACGATTCAGACTTTTAGTTTAATGATTACAGTTCCTTGAAAATGGTTCTCTGGCTTCAGATCTGTCATGGCGCTGAGAAAAACTGAAAGAGCGACATGCTGGAGTGGTTCCACAGAGACCCCCCATGATGCTGGGAAATGTCTAAAAGGTGTTTTAGGTAATTCATATTAAAACAGTGAACTAAACTCGTTATTACGAGTTCTTGGATTCAATTTTGAACCAACGTCCTCTCTAAAGAACCTTCATGTTTTCTGTGTGCAACAACAGCAGGAGATCAATTACGTGCACAACATGAGGGAGGGAGGAGAAAAAGACCCACCGCTGGGTTGACACAGCGACAGTGTCAGCAATTGCTCACCTTTGCACCATGCTCTGTGTGTGTGTGTATGTGTGTGTGTGTGTGTGTGTGGGGGGGGGGGCTAATTGATTTCAGCCCTCTGGAAAGTCATTTCATCATACTTGGTGTTTTTAACCCTTGTCTTACGACAGCCTTACAGCAGTTAGTCTGCACGGAGACTCACGTCCCTCTGGGAAATTATAAGCTCCTGTGTGTGTGTGTGTGTCTGGAGGGGAGAGAGAGAGAGAGAGAGAGAGAGAGAGAGAGAGAGAGAGAGAGAGAGAGAGAGAGAGAGAGAGACACAAGGTACATGAGGAGGAAGCTTTGAAGGAGCCTTCAACATGAGGCAGGGCTGTGTTTTAAAAAACAATGTGTATTTTAATAATTTCTACATACAGCAGACTTTTAACTGGGTCTTAAATATTTGAGAAAAACATAACAGGGAGGAAAACTAACGAGGCAGCATGAATTAATGTAAAACCCAGAACACACGTGTTTGTTTTGTTGCAGATTAAAGATGTCTAGACTATTTATACCTGATGTTTTAACATCAATGACTACATGTCAGCATTCAGCAGGTTAATAAATTAGGTAGGTTTTAAAGAATAAGAATAAAAATCTTATAAATTGCACTGTATGCACATCCTAGTTTAAACAGATTCAGTGTAATCATCTGTGTCTTAAACTCTTGGTATGGAAACCAATATTTCTTTCTGTTCTGATCTTTATATTAAACTTACTTTTTTACATTTACATTTGCAGCGTAATCTTTTAAATTGGGGTTAAGGCCAAGAAAAATCTAAATAATATACAAATATACACAAAACATTATATATTTCAAATGGGCACGTAGTTTAAAAGTATTGAATTGAATCAAATTAAATTTGAGAGCAGCAGATGTTTGGTCCGTGACTTTTTATATATGTCCCAAACATTTTAAAGTATGGCCAGCCCTGTTTCAATGTAACGTCATTAAATTTGCAAATCACCATTTAGTCGTTTACGTTGAAGGTTCAGCACAATGTGCATAAAGCACCAGCACAGGGAAGCAGGTTATGCAGTCAGCTTTGTCTCATTACAGGTGAACCTTTACCAGAGCCTCCCAACACACTGGGTGAGAGGTCAAACTGGGTGAGAGGTCAAACTGCTTTGTTTTTAGGTTAAAGGTTCAACTCACTGACTTTGTTTTCGGAACGCGTCTGGCTTTTCAGGATGTTTCTGCTGCTTCAGCAAATTGTGGTTGTTGAGACTGTTGTGTGCAGGATTTCAAAAGTATCAACGATACACATACGATGTTTTTGCAAGAACTGAAGATATGATTGTGAATTGATTTCATCTCACCTTTCCAGCCTTTCGTAAGGACATTTCCTAAGAGTGTGTCCTTCCAAAAGGCTCTCACAGCTGATACGTGCACTACTGCACACATGCAGAGACTTGACCCAGTGTGTGTGTGTGTTGTTTACATCGTTCCAGGACATTGTGTACTGTCTCCACTTCCCTGTTACGCTCAAGCCAGGAGGCACCAGACGGACCAGTAATTCAAAGTACATACACAAGCACGACTCAGAAACAGGAAGAGGAAGTGATTTTGGGTTAACATTCCGTCTTATGTGAAGTAGAATAAATAAAAGGCACAACTCCCCCTCAGTGATACAGTGTAACAAATCTTTATTGATTTGGCAAAACACCGAATGACAAATGAGCTATTTTCTGACATATTTTCTGTCTGCACGATGTCACCACGAGAAGCTGAGTGAGCCACATCGGACAAAGTGTTTGAATCTTTCCAGTCAATATAATAATAAAGATATCCATCTCCACACTGCTAATATGTTCCATCAAATAAGAAAACACGAGACAAAACTTAAAAATATCAAAAACTAAAATATTTGAACGAGAATGGAAGCAGAACTTCATATCAACAGGTCATGCTTAAACAAAACACTTTGTACTGTGAAGCTCTGCGTTCTTACGACATCATCTTCTTCTACTTCTAGATTCACCACTGAGGTTTGTTCACACACGTAAAAACACAAACAGTTAAAACCAACGGTAAAAAATAAACAACAAGCTCCATAGGGCATAAATAAGTTACATTACTAGGTCAGTATATAAGGCGTACAAAAACAACATCCCACACGTTAATGCTGAGGTTAATATGAGAAAGTGTCAGTCAGTGCAACAGTCACAAAATGTAGAAAACCTTCCGAGGTACAAGGCTGTTCAACTCAACACCGAACATTAAAAACTTGGCCTAACATCAAATTCCTAATTGGCCTAAAAAAAATCACTGTTGCATTGCAACCAATCACGAGTTCTCATCCGAAAAGGAAAGGAAACATTCAGCGTTTGGGACTTTTTTGTTTATTTCAAGGCACCGTCCAGATACGCCCTCGCCCTCTCCCTGTGGGGCGGGGCCAAGCAGTAGCCGATGGCCTGCTCCGTCTCCCGGACCCGCCTCCGGAAGCGGTCCCGGTCTCGCGCCATTTCTTCCCAGTGTCCTTTACGAGACGCCTGGCGAGCGAACAGCCAGGTCCGCATGACGTGGACGTGGACTTGAGGAGAAAATCGCACCTGAAATCCAGAAGAGATGAAGACAGAAATTGAGTACATTTTGTTAAAATGATACTGATGTCCATTTGTGCTTTTAGCGAGTTTATAACGGCAACTAATGTAAGTAAAAGGGTATCTAAACTTCAGATAGATGGTCATTACCACTCAGAGCTAAGCTGTGTGTGTAAACACCCTAAACTCTGTACTTTCCACCCCTCACTGACTGAATATGGCCATGGCCTGTTTTCCTGCTCCCCTGAGTCTGATGACACAGACTGTTTCTTGACAAATTGTTTGCAACACTGTGGCAACTTCACATTTAGCCCAATGCTGAAGCCGAACTCTCTGCTGACTCGCCGGAGTCACGTGACACACGGCTTAGTCATGGCGACCGGCGGCGTTGCTAACCGACGACAAACAACAGCTCAGCTGAACACACTGTGCGGTATGTGACTCGCACCGTATCTAACCACAGGACACTCCTTTGATATGAATGTAGAAACCTAAACTGAGGGACCATGTGCTCCTCAGTATCTACTCCAGTGAAACTGTCATCTACCTGAAGGCAAAGCTGTAGTTTTTCCCTTGACATTGTCTACCTCGGTACGAAGTGGAATAGATATACTTATTTAATCCTTTGTCTTGACTTGCTGTGCAGTATTTACAGAGGAGACTATTTTTCACTTCAAATCCCAGCGGGGTTTCCTTTAAAGCTCCATCTAATCCCGCCTGCTAGATTAACTACATGGTATTATTAGGTAATGACCTTTTTCTGGGTGCTGCTGGTCTTGCTTTCCCTCGTCTCCTCTGGCAGTGACTGCTGTGTTTGTCCCGTTCTCTTCCAGGGCACCAGGGTTTTGTCTGGGTGGGAGTGATGCTTTAGCTTCCTCGGTGTTAGCGAGGGCTTGGTGGCTCTGGGTGATTTTTTGGACTCTTTTTCACATTTCTTTCCCTTCGTGGGTGGAGCTTGTGTGTGGTGGACATCGAGGTCTTCCGGATCCTCAGACGGCGGCGGCATTGCCGAGGAGCTCTGCAGGCAGGCCTGGAAGTTGAGAGGGTGGTACGGGTCATCCTTTTGGCCGAGAGATTTCCACAGCTGCCGCTCTTCTTCATCGTCCTCGGATGAAGGAGGGACGCTGCTCTCCTTCTCCTCCGTGTCCGACCTGGAGGGAGGTGCAGGAAGCGAGGCCGGCTGTTTGGAGGCCGTGGTGGTGGTTTGAGGTGACGCGCTGCCGAAGGTGCAGGCGGTGAAGCACATGGGGTTGTAGGGGTCGTCGGGGCTGCTGAAGAACTCCAGGAGCCTCTCGCTCTCCTCGTCCATGTCGGGACTCGACCCCTCCGAACTGGCCCAGCTGCTCCAGCTGCTCTCGCTGTCAGAGCGGCTGACCCAGACATTCAGGCCCTGGGGCCCCAACATCTCCTCGCCGGCCTTCCTCACCGACACGAGGTCGGCGTCGCTCTCCGTCGCTTTGCCTTTACTTCTTCCCATATTAGTGTTTGTTGAAATGCAGGCAGAGAAAAAGAAGGGGTTGTAAGGATCACTGGATTTCGACAGGGACTCCCAGAGCGCCTTACTTTCCTCACTGTCAAATTCGACTACGTTCTGGTCTTCTTCGCTGCTCCAGAGGAAAGTTCTCTCCTCTTCTGAAGTTTCCTGCTTGAAGCCTTTTTCACTGGTTTTATGGCAGCCGTCGCTTGAACCGGAGCTGTCGCCGCTCGACACGAAGATGTTCCAGTCGCCGGGGAAGCCCATTTTCCAGCTGGACTGGTGTCCCAGAAAGAGGCCGTCGTCTTTGCCGGACACAAAATCGTCCACTAATCCGCGGCACAGGTCGTCGGCGCGCAGCGTGGACAGCAGGGCCTCGGCGGCGGAGTCGCCCACGTCGGCGCAGAAGGTAGAGAGGGGGTTCGAACCGCCGACGTCGCCGTCGAACAACGAGGAGAACAGGAAGGCATCTGTCGGGCTCGCCGCCGTGGTCATGTGCTGCATGTGTTGACCCGTCTCGTCTGTGATTCTCACGTGGACCTCAAACCGGAACATCTGGAAAACTGGACAGGCGGGAGAAAAAAACCGTTAACAGTGGATCGAAATTCAAAATAGAATGATTTCAGTTGAATTATGATCTTCCATCTCTAACAAAATAATGGTGCTTCTTTGTTTCCTGGTATAAAATAATACCCTTGATTAAATAACAGCATAATAATAGAAACATCATAGGGCTGGGTATAAATATATAACTGTAGGTAGAAGTCCCAGATGGCACTTTTAAAAGATAAATCTGCTTCGACAGTGCTTTATGATTCATAACATAAAAATATAAAACTCACTGTAGTACCACATGGACTTTACAGGGATTAATACTGTGATAACATAGTAAGTACAACAGCTAAATTAGGACGTAAACACAACAAAAACTAGATAATGTTTCTGAAAACAAACTCCTAATTGGACTCCATACAGGTCATTGTGATGGCGTTGTATTGTGAATTAACGGTGTAGAGTTAAATAGGATTTTATATTAATTAAAAAGTAAAGTATCGACTCAACGGTCTCTGGACTTTCCGGTAAACCATGAAGTCACAAAGGTTACGAGGGGGTTGGGATGACTGACAAAGTTTCTACTCCCACTAATGTGCTGTTCTTACCGGACACGAAGGTGTAGTATATGACCTGAACCAGCAGTCGTAGCTGTTCCCACAGCACAGTGAGCATCTGTTTAGTCCACGGCAGGAGCGCCATACCTCCGCTACCGAACCTCTCCATCGCGGTTCGTTCAGAACCCTTCTCGGAACCAACAAGCGTAGCCATCTTTACTTCTTCTTGGACCAACAATAAAAAAAAAATCCTCACGTATTCTGGTATTCCTCGTCGAAAACCAACAGATTTCGCGTATTAGTCGGTGACCGATATGCGTCGATGTGCTGTCGCTTCATTGTCCGGCAAGTGTGCGCCATTTTCGGATCTCCTTCGTCAAACACTCCGGTGTATTTTCTCCATGTCTCTCAGTCTGTGTGGTTGTCTGCGTTGTTGTAGTAGTAGAGCGTAATGTCTCGAGATTACAACACCAGTCCCTTTTAACGTAAAAACGTGACGTAGCGCGAAGAGCTGTGGTTGGAGCACGTCGCTGTCGCTCACCGCACAGCCCCGCCCCTCACGTAATAAACTACTCCTTCGGGTCACGTAACGTAAGCGAACGTGTGACGCGTGGAAAATGCCTAGTAATTTTCCCCACCGGCAGGAAATCCCTGTAAATAGCCTCTACCGTTCATTTAATGTAAATAAAGTGCTAAAAGTGAAAAGGTCGGGAGTTTTTTGAGACTCAAAAGCAAATTGTACTTCAAAAAGGTGCAGTTTCACTTTCAGTCAATCACTTGGTTTACATTCTCATATACAGAAAACGTCTGCTTTATCACAACACCATCTAATATATTTATATATATTTTAATCTTTCAAAAAACAAGATCTCAACACTTGACAATTTAAAGAAAGACAACAGAAACATTTCCAATTTAAATCTTTTTATTAATCCAAAAAAGTGTTGCGATTATGCCACCAGAGCAGAAGCTGTAGAGGACTCGCTGTAGACAAAGAAAACACAGCGTTAGAGGGAGCACTCCTTTAGATAAACAACGTAGGACTAGTTCACACTGTGAGGAAAAATACAGTCAATATCAAGTGTTTTGTTTCTGCCGTTACTATAAACAAATACTCCAGAAAGGCAGTTAGCCCAATTCATAAAATGTACATTTGCAGGAAATAACACCTAAAATATGTTTAGTGTAATTGTGTGAAGGGGACTGGCAGATGTGGCACCAAGTAGCCACTCTGTTAATTTACCTCCAAATGTTTTCTAGCACAACAGAAATATCACTACTCTCAATAAAGAGAAGAGCAGGACAATGATTTGTGCATCTTTTAATGCAAATAGCCTATGTTAGTAGCAAGTCTATGACATCATTGAGGTTAACTTTGTAGTCATTTTTAATTGTTAACAAAATGGAAGTGAAAAATAAAAGCAACAAGGAAAGCCTCCCAAAGCAGAACCAATACGTACTACTTCCAGTTGGGGGCCAGTACTCTCTTGGTCTTGTAGTAGCGGGCCAGCCTGTGGATCCTGCTCTCAGTGAGAATCAGGCGGAACTTGGCATCCCTGTCCTGCAAGTATAGTAAAAACATGTTATGGGTTTGAAGTGTAACACATGTATTACCGAATATGTGCATCCAGCCATGAAAACACCAGTAACTGCATTTACCTATAGTACAGCTTTGGTTTCCTTTACATCTTATTCTCTGATCATTTTAATTTGTTTACATAATGTCATAAAAAAAGCCAAAATTCATGAAACAAATGTTAAATTCAAGATATGCATTCTGATGAAACAAATTGTAATAGTCTACTCAATCCTAATACCTCTCTAAACACCTTGCTTGTCTTAAGTTTTATGTGAGCAAAACATTTGGTGGCATTTCCAAATGACAAGTTAATGTTTTGTAACCCACTCACTCAGCATATGGGTGTTATATAGAGACATAGAAAGCAGACTTTCCAGGCCTTCAGGAAACAGAAGCACACTACACCAGATGCCTCTTAAAACGTGCTGCGAATGACCGTCATTGGTCTCATTATTTTGGTGTGGGTAGGTTTTGGGGCCTTGTTTTACCTTTCTGTTTCTCTCCAGATGCTTCCTGATTGCCACAGCCTTCTTGATGAGGTGGTAGAGATCCTCAGGCAGGTCCGGGGCCAGACCCTTGGTCTTAAGGATCCTCAGGATCTTGTTGCCAGTGACGAAACGTACTTGGGCCACACCATGGGAGTCCCTCAGAATCACACCTGAACAAGGTGACAAACAGGCTTAAAACTTGGACAGTGTATGTTGCTCATATTCTGTTAGCTTTATTCATCCGTCACGGTCAATAGACAAACTTAGTTTATTTACTTCATCTAAACTAACCGAACTGATGTGCGAGAATGTTTCTAAAGCAAAAGGGATTTCTCGTGGATGCTGGTAAACTAGATTTGCAAACATTAAAGCTCCATTAAAACAGAAATTAGGTAAGAAATGTGATCAAACCATACGTACGGTTATAATGACTCCAAAAAAATGTTACTCCAGAAAGGCAGTTAGCCCAATTCATAAAATGTACATTTGCAGGAAATAACACCTAAAATATGTTTAGTGTAATTGTGTGAAGGGGACTGGCAGATGTGGCACCAAGTAGCCACTCTGTTAATTTACCTCCAAATGTTTTCTAGCACAACAGAAATATCACTAGTCTCAATAAAGAGAAGAGCAGGACAATGAGTTGTGCATCTTTTAATGCAAATACTTTTTTTTTAATAAACAGATCACATGAATCAATCTCTGTATAGTTATAAATCACTTAAATCTTAAACCTAAAGATGATCCCATCCTGTAGTGTAAACCGCTCTGACACGACTGTTGAACAGGTTTCGTTTCTTAAGTGGGACGTTTCATTGTAATAATTCAATTTGTTTTACTCTACAAAAGGCCAATGAAAGTTTAAATGCCGAGATAAAATATATTTTATATTATTGCACTAAATGTTTGCATCTTGTTTTCTCATTTTGTTGTTTTCACCCGACAGTGCAGTCTGAATGTTGCATCATTTGTTTTGCACCAGAAGAAACGCGTCTGTTCCTCGATGTACTCAACTGTGTACAGACCGACAGTAAAGTCTCCCTGCTCTCATCAAATCAATGTCAACTTACATTGTGTTCTAAAGATTCAGAACTAACCTATATGTCCATGATGAGTTGCAATTGTATGAAATCATGATATAAAATTTAAAAACGGTGCGCCTTAACGAGTCCACTAAAGATATTGATGGGGAAAGATGTTACACCCTAAATACCCATTCTTTGACTGTCACTAAGTGTGGACAGTTAATACTATTAATTATATATTAGTTAAACACTCAAATATTAGCCCTATTTGGATATCAGTGGTGGGCCATCGGGGCCTTCTCTGCTGGCCTAAACATAATCACAAAGTTATAGCTATTTTATAATTTTTCTTAAATACACTACATGTATTATAATTTATAATAATATTTTTCTCATTGCACAGCTACTGTCTTCCTCAGTTGCTCTGCTTCCAGTGCAGCTTGTTTTAAGTAGAGCTTTTATCCAATCAGATTTCACCTCTGTGTCTCTAGGTAAGAAGAGAGGCCGAGGCCTGCAGACTCACAAGTGCATCCATGTGCAGTTTAAGTGAATGGGGACGATATTGTTGATTGTCATATTCTTCAACCAATCAGATCTTTAGTTTGACATGTTGGGCGTATTCTTTGACGTGCCAGAGCCTGCTAGCCATACGTGATTGGTCAGTGGGCTAGCCTGACATGTTGGGCGGTGACAATCCCAATATCTGCTGCCTCTGCCGAGCGGACATTTTCAGCATTAAAACGTATTCAAGAAATACAACTGGGGAAGCTCGACTGTCTTCACTGGTGTCCAGGAATTGAGGACTTCTTACTGGAACTAAAACGCACGGATGTACTGAACAACCGTGGGATTAAAGTCTATTAACAAAGAAAGGAGGATGCACTTTGTCTTTAAATAGTGAACAGCAGCTCTGGTAAGTTAAATGCGTTTGTTTTTAAATCTGCAGTAGCTTTAATATGCTTGTTTATATATTATTATTTGTACAACTTGTTTTTATGAAGATTTGTGTTTGGTTAGGAACTATTGTTACGTCCAATGTTGCTCTGGGGACATATTTAGCCGGTGCCAGTGTTGGCAACTTGCTCACTAAATCTGGCGACTTTCCAAACCCCCATGGCGAATTTTTTGGTCAAAAGCTAGTAGCGACAAATCTAGCGACTTTTTTCTGGTGTTGTTGGAGACTTTTCTGGTGTTTTGACGTTGAAGCACGTACGTTCTGCACTGTCGTGAACGAGCAGCGGGTGCTGCCGTGAGCCGCCCCAAAGCACTCACAGGCGGGTACTCTCACAGAAGCCTCGCGCTGCAGTCACAGCAGAGAGGAGACGCACTCTCTGCAGTTAGTGGATCTATAGGTGTTGAGCTTAATTTTTACACAAAACATAATAACCGTAGCTGTGTTTCAGCTGCAGGACAGCAGTGAAGGCCCAGGTATAAAATGCACGGCCCGCCACTGTTGGATATAGAACATGCCTATAACAGAGGCATGGTTGATTTGTTAATGTCGACAACAGTAGAGTTCTCAAACCTAAAATGAATCTAGACTCGTGACATTTGATCTACAGCATCTGTGAAACAATGCTCCCATCTGTTGAATTAGTCAATTTCACTGCTTACATTAGCCAATAGCAATGGACAACTTTTGGAAAAGCCGTTTCACATTATGTATGATTTTGTTAAAAGAAAACCATTATGCTGCAATTCTGTTGCAAATTGAACAGCTGTGTAAAGGCAAGTTGTATATAAGGTACAAATATACCTATTCTAAAAATAACCACATACTCAACTACAGCTCACTCATTTAAATCTGTTTTAATAGAACTATACATACTGTTATAAGCACCGTGCTGCATATCAAGAACAGTTGGTGTTCACATACTCTGTCAAGCAATTCAATAACTTTGTAACACATTAGTAAATTTCTAGAACTAGAATCTCTCTAAAGACAAACTTACCGATCTGAGAGGGGGTCAGGCCTTTTTTGGCCAGCTTGAAGATCTGCTCTTTGACATCATCAGATGTGAGCTTCAGCCACTGCAAGTGATGTTTAAATGATTAACCAACTGATCAAAGCAGTCCAGAAACACGTCGATAGATAATGACCATGATTTCTGTTAACGTTACTTACAGTGGGAACACTGCGCCTGTAAGGCAGAGCTGACTGGGACAAGCCCTTTCTGTAAGAAATAAACGCAGGTTTAGTTAAGAGACATTGGCAGCGAGACGGAGAAACGTAAAAGCAAACATTAAATGCATGTTAAAAAGGTTCTAGTAACATTAGCTAGCTTATCTGCGAGCCTGGTGAAGGTTGATGGCTGGGCTAACGTTAGCTTTAGCTACTTACTCGTGTTAGACTGTTGGGAATTTAAAAGTGTAATGCTTTAGTTTAATATGTTCAATTTCACGCGTAAATAAACCTGCATTTCGTCGGTGAATGTGTAATATAGTACTGTGTATTACTGTCCAACATGGAAGACAAAGTCAAGCAGCAGAATCGTGGTGCGCTGCCAGCGCCGTTAGCTTGAGTAAGCTAGCTAGCTAGCCTCAGCGATGGATGTCGATATGCGGGTCCGTATATACAAGTTATTTTCTGGTTTATAAACTGGATTAAATCGCTCTAAATGCTCCTCAGACATCCATAACATGTTTACATGCGATTTGGTGCCACCAAAACCAATCTATCGACACAATATTTTAACTTAAAATCGTGAAACGAGAGCTCACCCGGGAGCGTGCATGCGACCCATGATGGCGGTAGAGGAAGAGAGGCCGCACACGCGACGGAAAATGGTATTTTGCGCCTGCGTCGGAAGTGACGCAGACAAAAAAAAAGCGCGTCATTGACGGCGTCGAGTCATTCAAGATGAACGTTATGAAGTCAAACGTAGCCTGAAAGAAACTAAGAAAAGACACAATTGAACAAATTGACAATTGCATCTTGTAGCATCGAAGTATTACAAAGTCATACAAATATATTTTAATGTTTTGTTAAACATTTTTAACGTAAATCCTTTTTTAGGTGCAACTAAATAGTCCCCAATATTCACTGAATATCCCTCCTCAGTTTTTGTTTAATTGTACATTATTTCAGGTACAATGTGCTTCTACTGCAACACAATAATTAAAACAATTATTGTATTATTATCGCTGATAACAAGGCTAGAATACTGACTCAGCAAAGCAGGCTGCAAGGTGACTGTGTATAATAGTTTTTAATTTCAGTATGCAACATTTTACAATATTGTGTAATTTAAACTGTATGTGTTTTAAGAGACCTTTGGGTTTGGTCTGGGGGCTTTCTTGTGGGGTCCTGTGTCAAAATCTTTTCTTAAAGCTACAATCAATTATACAATTATATTATTCCCCACAGAGTCACAGCATAAGATGCTGGGTGTCTGCACTGCATCATCCAATTTATCCACACCCATCCCATTTTAACAGAAACAAAGAGTCACAATCATATTTGTTTCAAAAACATTTAATTTGCTTTAGGAAAGAGGGATTACAGTACACACTGATCCAGTCGGGTTACAGGTCACCAATTAGGAATAAATAACTGGCCATGTTAATACAAACTCTGCTTGCTTTCTCTGTACAGTCACTAAAAGAGTGGATCAAGTCACTAATATTCATAGTGTGAGTGATGCTCTCAGATCAAAATGGTCTTGTAGAATCTTCTCCTTAAAAAAAAAAAAAAAACCTTTTCAGATAAATTCAAATTCTTTATTAAACATTAATAACAGCTTTAGATTTAGAGTAAGCGAGGGGAGAGGAAAGCAGCCAATGCTCAGAATCTTGTTCCCTTTTTTTGTGAAGATGGTTTAAGTTAAAGTTGCCTTCTCAGCACTGATCCGAGTTCAGTTCGTCTGACATTTTTCTCACTTCAGTATCATAAAACCTGGCTGGATCTGGACTTCACTGGCAGTGTATTGCTAACATTTTCACCCAGTAACTCATCGCGGCATCATTACACCACTCTTGCGCACTGGGAGCGAGGGTGGTATTGCTGCCTCAGACAGCCTCACGTCCAGACTCCAGTTTTAACTCATTAACTGCATTCTGAAAAAGTCTGAATTATGGTTTTGAACCACCTGAAGGAAACAGACTTATGATCAGCGTTAGTGGGCAACCATAATCTCTTCATCCAAAGCACACGGCAAGAGCGTGTTCCAAAGCTTATGATACAAATTCCCCTTAAAAGTGTGCTGTGTGAAAATAGTCAAGTAATAACACAAGAGAAAGACCTGGTAGTGTGCATTTAGTGCCCACTGTTACAAAAAACCTCTACGGTGCCAGTCCGGCACCAGACCTGCTCCGTCAGAACTACTGATTTAGCTTTAGAGAATATAGATTTTTCGATAATAAGGACACATTGTTTAAAAAAAAAAAAAATAAAAAA